AATGTTGTGACCCTTGGTATACATGTTTACCTATATATTATTAAGAATGACGGGTTTAGTTCCTATACTTGAAATCTGTGTTCAGATTATGCCAATCAGATGTTGATATCACTCTATTTTACTGTCACATTTTAATATCTTGTGTCATTCACCTTGTGTTACATATTCTTATGCAATTTTTATGTAACAATTTTTTTCATTGGCTAAAAGTTACCATCAAATCCATAGTTGACATGTTGTAACTAAGGAGTGACCCGCCATTTTGGATTGCTTGGATCAACAATTGTTTGATTACTACAATATTATAGAAATTATAACAAAACCTACCTAAAAAATTCCATTATGATGTGATTTTATTCTTATTTGATTTGTAGAAGCATGGAAGTATTATATTGACAGGAACTACAACGATTTATGAGCACTTTTTTATAACCCGGGGAGCGCTGTAGAAAAGATATGGAAACTGTCTAATTAATGCGCTATCGTTAATTTCTTTGTGTGACTATCTGCGATGCCGCGGTCATAAATTGACCAGAGATACTTCTTATCAATCACATGGTTTTTATCGAAACATGTTAACACCAATACCTGTCGGAAAACACCTTTGCTTATTTCAATCGCGTCGTTTGACCTTTAATCATAAACAACTTATTTAAACAAATCGACTGATTCATAAAAAATGAAAATCGGCCCAGAATTATTGATACTACAATCTTTTAAAGTAGTAATTGACATTATTTTATTTCTTCAGGGGTTATGTTAAAACCGTCATAATGGTGTGTTCCGGTTACTGCCGAGTCACGAAAATGTTCCTGATATAAATATACACTGCGACAAATCGATTAATATATATAGAAAAGAGCCTTGATTAGCCTGGAAAGTAGAAATTTTCAGTTTTATATGCGAATTTTAATCGATCAAGGGCTGAATAGCATAGAAATTATATATAAAACAAATATAGTAAAAAAAGATGCACCTTGTTATTTATATATATGTGCGTTTTAATTTTTTGACATTTGATTCAAAACTGCTAAAATATTCATATATGAACGAATTTTGTACGATTATATACAGCCGTGGTCAGTATTTCTATTTGTACATTTATGAATATGCCAATCATGACTTGTGATTTGATCCGTATTTATCAATTTGACAAAAAACGAAGACATTTAAAATGTTATATAATGGCTAAACTATCTCTATCCCATAAAATACTTTATCACTTTCTGTCCAAATGATACTAGTAAATATTACCATCATTCAACACACTGGGCTCAGCAGAAACATTCTTATACAACCAATGATCTTACCCTGGATGTAAAGCAAAGCCTTATAATTCTAACATTAAAAATCTCTATTATTTTTTTTTTTATTTTAATTAGAACAATCAGTTTACAATTGTCTTAAATATGCATGAAATGTATGCCACTGGACGTTAAACAAACAGTAATTAATCACAACTTGCGATATATACAAAGTGCAATTTCTACAGAAAAATAAATCAATAAACATGGTGTATTTATTCAATTGATATGGTACAAATTTCCATCGTCAATATGTTTTTTTCAAGAATTTTTAATAATGTCTCGCACAAATCAATTAGCACACATAGGCAAATGTAGGGTAACGGAATCTACCGAGGTTTGCCGATTGCTGTTTCCTTAGAATTTATGACAACTTTCGATTTCTTTGTTTATTTCCGTAATGGCGAAAGCAACCAAGAATGAGAAAATTGTAGAGTGCCTCACGCTGATGTGTAAATAACGTACCATGTTTCAAGTTAATTAACATGTCATTAAATTAAAACGTTTGAAGTCAGGTCGTAGTAGTTCCTGTCAATATAATACTTCCATGGAAGAAGTAACGTTATAACCTTCAGTTTCTAAGTTCTCATTTGTATGATGTGATGGTTGACATCACATTTAGCCATGACATTTCGCAGAATTTTATTTGATTTCAAATTTATAGCTTTTTTTCAAGCTCTTTACTTATTTCTTTTTGTACTGTAGTTGAAGAGTTGCCATCGTCAACTGTCTCAAATATCTGTACGTATTATTTCTTTTTGTAATGCATTTGAATTTGAATACCAGTACTGTCGTTGAAGAGTTGCCGCTGTCAATTTCGATTTGACGGTCGACAATTGATGGTTGCAACATTTGTACTACAGTACTGTTATTCCTTAATTCTGATTTCTAATGTTCTAAAGGTATATACTAAAATTATATAAGTAGTTACTACAGTGTTATATATATAACTTTACACTAATTGTTGAGAATACCAGTACTTTATTAAATCTATAAGCTTTTCATCATTCAAGCCACCGACTATAGAGGTAAGGAAATTTGATGTAGTAATAAATGCCACTATATTTCAGGTGTGCCAGCCATTACAGTGCCTTCCAAGCTTTCTGGTGATGGATTACCTATAGGATTACAATTTATAGGACAAAATTTCAAGGATAAAGAACTGTTAACAATAGCTAAATGGTACGAACAGCAAGTTCAATTCAAACAACTGGATTTAGATTATCTGGATAATGTTTCTTGACAACCGCTGATTAATAATAAAATATAAAATGATAATTGTGTGAATACATTTTATTTCACTCCACAATCTTGTTGAATAATACTAGAACATTTGACATATGGGTGTCACATTGGACATATGGATGTGAAGAACTGGATGCCAATTGTAGCTCACCAGGTTTTTAGAGCAAGTGTGAACTGTTGCCATCACTTTATCTCTATCATCCATTTTTCCGCTAGCTTTTCAAAATTTTCAAAAACTTTTCTAAAACTTCGTCAGTTGATTTAAACATGCAGGAATAGTACAAATATTGGAGGTCACAGATATTGAAGGTCACAGATATCTAAGGTCGTCCATCAAAACTCCTCATATTTTTTTAGTCAGTGATTAACTTGGTCAAAGAATACCAGTGAATGATACTGTTATTGAGGGTCATTCATAAAAAGTATTCCTTGTTTTATTTTCAGTCAGGGGAAAACTTGGCCACAGAAAACCAGTAAATATATAGTTATTGCAGGTCATCCATAATAACAATTAATGCTTAATTCCTATCAGTTATGGGGAAAACTTGGTCAAAGAATAACACATAAAGACAAATAATTGATTTGATATATCTTCTCTGAAACTGGAAGCCTGATCTTTTCAATCCTAAACAATTATTGGAGAACATTAACAACTGCTGTTAGTTCTTAGAGTCTTGCATGTAGAGGTAGATTAAAAGTACATGTTGGGTATAGGTTAATGAGACAACTGAACATCAAGAATAATCAAAAGACTTTTAGAGGGTAACATAGTTATTTTAAAATAAGACAGGTGTTAACAAAATATGTCAAGCTCTAAATAGACTCAACTCTTTATAAAAGTTGTGAATAAATTTAACAGAAATAAAGCAGTCAAAGATCAGTCATTAAAACAATTCTCCAAATAATGAAAAGCATTTAAAAGATAATAGACATTTGTCAGCTGTTATTCAGATGGATGATCATGTGATCAACTAAGTTATTTTTATTTTGGTATTTCTTTCTTTATGCTAGATTTTAACCTGATGTGACTAGTGTCATATGGTGGGGTTGTTGTGACTATCTTTAGTTTTCTGTGTGGTTTTTATTGTCTACTTTTTATTAGCTCACCTGGCCCATAGGGCAAGAACTTAAAAAGATAGAGAGAAACTGTAAAAAATGATCAGCAATACAAGATGAAAAAAAAAAAGATTTTTGTCATTAATTCTATTCTAATCCACAATGTTGGAGAGTGTCCATTGTTGAAGATGCACATTGACCTAGCCCAGGTGAGCAACACAGGCTCTTTAAAGCCTCTTGTTGTTTTTTTTTTTTGCCATGGTTTGTATGTTTTTTTCCCTTGGTATCTCCTTTTTTGAATGTAGGACAGAAAGTCACAGGACAAAAAGTCACGGACAAAAAGTCACAGGACAAAAAATCATAATTCAGTTTTGAGATTATTTTTCTTTGAACAAGAAAAAACTAATTTAAAAAGAAATAGTTTGTTTTTTTTCTTAAACTATTATTTATAAAGCAACTTTGTAATTAAAATTTATGCAATAAATATTAATAATGATCAAATAATTGCTATGAAAACAAAATGTCAAAGAGGCTTGATCCTTAAATGGCTTCATGGTGCCAAGAAATATATCCTTTGCACGATTAAAATTTAATAAATTTTTATTTATCAAGGCTTATGAACAATTTCCTAAACTTAAAAATGAATATATGTAATAAAAAGAAAATATTTCAAGATCTTTCTCTTGTATATTCAAACAATTGTCAACAAACTATTTGTGACTTTTTGTCCTATCAAATTTGTGACTTTATGTCCTGTGACTTTTTGTCCTGTGACTTTCTGTCCGTTTACCTCCTTTTTTCACCATCCATAAATTCAGAAATGTCCTTTTCTTATTTTAGTGTTTATGGAGCAATGCTATGTAATAAATGTCTTCATGAACAAATGATACTGATCTACAGAATATTGAATTTTTGTAAAGTTTGGTTTTGTTGTCCTAGAATGTGATAAGAAATAAACAGTTTAAGTATTGAGTATGTACCTATTCATTTAGTAAGTTATATCAAATATTTAATGTGCAACCAACTATATAATACATTTAACTTGATTAAATGTCAAAAATAAATTGAAGCTAAACTTTCCTCAATTAGTTTTTAGAATACACACACAACAACTCCATCCATATTAATATTTAATTAAACTTCAGATAATTAATCTATAATGAATAATCTTCACAACTTAATCAATATAAGCATGAAATTTATCTGAATTTTTATAATCAAACACACTTATCTGCCATCATAGGCTTGATTTATTGTATGGAATATTCCTGTAGTAATAACTAAAATAATCTCAAGACGATGTTTTACAAGCAGATTGTATATGATGGCTTTTGCACATTAAGTCTAGAGTTTTATATAGGTGCATGCATTTTGTAGTGGAAAATACCTCTGGAGCAGTTTCAAATAATTTTATTTGACAAGACTCAAATTACATAATAAAACTATTATATCATGCCACAAACTATAAGTAATATGGGTATTTTGTAGTTTGATTGATTATTGCTTGCTGAATATCCAGTGGCAAATATTACATGCATATTCATGACGAGGACAAATAGATAGACTCTGCACAGTGGGTCAATCAGGTTGATGGGCAGGAATTTGGATATGGGCAAAGGATTCTTTTGAACAGGTTACCCACAGATCCCCTTTAAAGAATTGTTGCAAGTGTTCTTTAATGTTAAGTGAGCCAGATAATGGTCCCTTTTTGACTTAACGTTGCTGCAAATTTATTCATCCTGCACAGACAAACACATCTCTTAAGGCACCAACAATTGATCTTTTGTGGGGGATTGAGTAGGGTTTAAATCATTTGTTTGATTATCAATTTCTTGAAAATCGTCCTTTTTAATACATTTGGAAAGTAGAAAAAAAATTGCTATTGAAAATTAGTACAATAAAAGTAACTATTTTATATAGAAATTTTGATGTGTGTTATTGAAAAGTTTTTTTTTGTCCTTTAGAATATAAATTCTGCAAAATCAGGAGGTTTATGGAGTTTGTATATTGTTTCTTAGGTAATAGACTGTAATTCAGTTTATTTTTGGTTTGGGAGAGGGAAAGAGGGTTAAACATTTGAAATCTGGTTGTAAGCCCATGCTACTTTTTGTTGTTCATTTCAAGTGTCATCTTTTCAAGGGCGCTTCTAGCTTTTACAAAGTTTATAGAGTAAGCATCCATTTCCAATGATTCCGAGAATCTATTGATAATATCATTTACAAAAGCAGTGCCTCCATTTTTCTCCTGCCATTTCAACAGAATGAGAAAACGAGCAATTGTCAAACTACCACGAGCTTGTTTGATCATCTGGTCCAATTCTGTTGAACTCAGCCAAAATGCAGTTCTAACAACTTCTAACTTTGTTGGGATAATGGCCTCACTGAAATTCTCTAGGTCTTCTTCAGTAAGTATCTTGTGTTCGATTTGGCGAGGAATTTTACCGACCCACATGTGACTTTCTCCCTCTGATAGTGTAGACACAAAGCTATCTTCAGAATGGTGTAGTTTGCTGTCTGCAATTATATTGACGTGTTTATTGTAACATTAACATTAAAACGGTAAAGAAAACATATAGAACTTGGCAATTTGTAGGGCCATTTATAAGTTTTCTCCTATATTGATTTCTTCATATTTGACAACTCGCAAAGTAATTTTTGACATAAAACTTTAACATATTGTATTTGATACATTTTAGTTAACACGTACCTCGGTTTGATTGGGGGAAATATAAGTACATGTATAACATCGATTGGTTGTAGCCAGGTGTATGTCTGATGCATAAGTGTAATTCATTTACCCTTTAGCTTTCATGTTTTGCAAATTTGGTGAATCCGTTTTTATTTGGGTGTTTTGTTTCATGAATTATTTCATGTTAATCTTTACATGTTGTTAGGATGTCGTCTCATTGACTCATTGCACATCGATTTTTATTTATATTTAGAATTAATGAAATTTAGGTTTTAAATAACTAACAACAGGTAATATTCTTTGCCATTCTATTTCTTTTATACTTACTCTGAACTGGCTTTGGCTGTTTGTGTGTTTTCATAATAATTTTGATTTCGTCTTCAGCATTTTCTATGATCTGTACATACTGCTGATCAAATTCCCTTAGTATTTTCTTCAAGGCGCCATACTTTCCGACCTCAACAAAATGGAGCTTTTCTAAAGATTCAAAAATATCTATGAAGTTCTGAGCTTTCTTAGACAACATTGATACCATGTACGGAACCAGTCGTCGGATTATTGCATCATATCGCACTTTGTTAACGGACGGGTCGATCACATTACTTAACTCTGCCAAAAGTCTTAGATGGGCCTCTTTAGCTGCAGTTGGATAGTTTTTTCGTGGATCATTAGAATCTCTGTAGTAGTTCCTTGCTGTAACATTCATTTCAAACACGTCCGATTTTAAGTTAAGCGGGTATTTTTGTATTTTGATTGGTAAATAAAAATGTCTGATGTCTATTAAAAGTGTTTGTAAGGACTGACATATGGTAGAATAAGTAGATATCACTGGTTTTAAACCAAAGAGTTACATACCATGCAATAATTTTTAACACTTTCGATTCAATTGTCTTTGATATTTAAGAAATTATTAAATGTGAAACATAAACAAAAGAATCAAACGCCATAAAACTTTACTAAATACATATGTAAGCTTGACTTATTGTCCTACATTTTACACTTACGAAATGTTTTATAATAAGAAAGAATGCGGTATATTTTAGGACAAGGATGTAGTTCTTGAACCTTTGAGAAACCCTCTTAGATATGTTCACGGACTTTGAATTTAAGAATTTTAAATTGTAGCTTCATTGAAGAACAAATAACAGCGTTGACGGCCAATTTAGCCTTCTGTCAAATATTATGCAACCAATTGATCTAGTCGGATCTTATTACTTAATTTTTTTATTAAATAAACGGAAAATACTGCGTTCAATTATAGTAAATTGTGTCATGATTTCCCCAAAAAAATCTTTGCAATTGGAACAAATATCGCGTTAGAACAGAGGCGGCACATACCAAAGGGATATTTAAGTTCATACGTCGAAGACAAACTGACAACACCATGGCAAATAATGAAACAAAATACTAACAATGAACACTGCCCTTTCCTGGATCTTGATATCTATATCTTTAACGGGAAGCTTAAAACCAAAATTTATGATAAAAGAGATGATTTTTCATTTCGTATTGTTAATTATCCATTTTAAGATGATGACGTTCCCTTGTCACCATCTTATGGTGTTTAATATATATCTCAACTTGTTCGATTCGCTCGTGTATGTAACAACGTATTTGATTTTAACGAAAGAAACCTCTGTATTACTGAAAAATTATTACACTAGGGTTTTTGATATCACAAACTAGTCAAAACATTTACTAAATTTTATCATCGGTACAAGGACATCATTGGTAAATATAAATCAACATGCAGACATCTTATACGTTCAGGTATTTCACATCCAATCTTTTATGGTAATATTCTATACAAAGCACAAAAATGTCGACATTCACCTCAAAAGCTAACAAAACCTTTAAACAGATTTATTCAGAAGGGATATAGTTACGATACTGTTGTCAGGTCATTAAAGATGGCATTTTTTGGTATTAATATTGATTCATTCATAGGGCCTTTGCATCGGAAATAAACACATTAATTCTAAAACCAGTTGTTGGCATGATACGGGTTATGTATTTTATGATGGTATGATACTAAACCCCTAACGGGAGGGATTGTGCTTGATTTTCATATGATGAATACATAATCTTTCAATCAGTTTAATTAAGGTCTGGAGCTGGCATGTCAGTAACTGCTAGTAGTCCTTTGTTAATTTATGTATCATTCAATTTGTCATTTTGCTTAGTTTCTTTTGTTACCTATTCTGACATCGGACTCGGACTTCTTTTGAACTGAGTTTTACTGTGCGTATTGCTGTGTGTTTGTTTATTCTACATTGGCTAGAGGTATAGGGGGAGCTAGGGTTGAGAACTCATGCGTGTTTAACCCTGCCGCATTTTTGCGCCTTTCCCAAGTCAGGAGCCTCTGGCCTTTGTTAGTCTTGTATGTTTTTTTTAATTTCAGTTCATTTATATGTTTTGGAGTTACGTCCATTTTCATTGAACTAGTACACATTTTTGTGTAGGGGCCAGCTGAAGCCCGTTTCCGGGTGCGGGATTTTCTCGCTGTGTTGAAGACCCATTGATGGCCTTCAGCTTTTTTCTGCTCTTTGGTCGGGTTGTTGTCTCTTTGACACATTCCCCATTTCCATTCTCAATTTTAAAAGTCTACAAAACACAACATAGAAAACCAAAGACCGAGCAACACGAACCCCAACAAAAACCGGTGGTGATATCAGTTGCTTTGGAAGGGTTAGCAGATCCTGCTCCACATGTGGCACCCGTCGTGTTGCTCGTGTAAGAACACATTCGGTAATAAGTCTCATTCAAAGGTTTATTTATGATGTAGTATGACGGGTATGCGATTCGTTGGATTCTCCAAAATCAAATTGTATGTCGCACAAGGCTTTTCATTATGCCAACTAAAATTCAAAACTTATTATTATTCAGCTGATGTTGTAGTCTCTACATAACCCTACCATTGAAGGGAATCAGGTAAACTCAAATAAAAGTATCTGTTCATTTGGTTGTGTATCATATTTTACAAGTTATGAGAGCATTATTAATTTTTTTTTTGTTCCATTTTACCATTCTTTTATCGTACGGGTCAGTACTATTAAAATTTATAATTTCCCTCTTTAGCCGAAAAGAATTCCTCACGATATCTTTATACACGCTTTTAACTTGACGTAATGCATAGAATAGCTTTTTCATTGGGTTTATCATAGCAAAAGTAGAGAGACGCATAGGATTTGTCTTTTTACTACAATGAATTTAAATCCACAAGTACACAAGGAAACACTTGACAAACATTTTTTATGATAATTTGAATATTCAGAAACATATATATGAAGAAAACCTATTATTATATACACTCATTAGATTTATCTGTTCATTCATGATTTATCATAATCTCCGGAGATTACATTCCCTTCTGACAATTACTTGTAATGTCGCTTACAAAGCAATCAAATATAAAAATTGAACTTAATTTGTTGATTTGACCATTTGGTTTTGTGGCGTTTATTCTGTCGTCTCTACTGAACAATAATAATGTTATCTACATCTTGGGCTATTTCGATATGAATAAAAGGGAATGTTGTGTATAGGTCGACAACGCAACACGACAATTTAACCAAAAAATATAAAGACATCTGAAATTTCACAAGATGTAGACGTTTGTTCACTGTAGGATACTTATGACATGTCTTGTCTTGGCTAACGCGTTGATAGATTCCAATTGTGTACTTTCCGTGTTAATACAGCACCATTCCTTCACATGGAGCACATATATAGTTTCGCAGTTGAGACCACAAATCCGCCACCCTCCCAACGATCATCACCGAATATCGCCGAGTCGGATTTCTGCTTATCACGATTAACTAGAAAACATATTTTGTATATTGTATGCAATCCGTATTGATTATGACTATTTCACAACCGAACCAAAGAATTGCATTTTAAATTGAAAAATTACCTGAAGTAAAAATTGTTTTTCCGAAAACCCGATTTAAATTCCAAAGAGTCTAAATTTAGATATAGAAATCGGGGATATTGACGTTTTAATTATTGGCATAAACTGTTCAGGTATAAAATCTATATTTATCTACCAAAAAGGAAGTTATAGTATACAGTATATTTGGAAATGTTCCATCCTTTGTGACTAACTTTGAAAACATCAGTTTGTTTGAATACATTGTACAAAATGGATGCACAAAATATAATTGGTAAAAACTGTGGTGAATTTACTGTAGAGAAACATATTGGGAAAGGCACGTTCGGACAAGTGTATCTAGTTACCAGAACTGATCAGATCCCATCAAGGACAGGGTCATTTCAGGTCAGTGTGTATTTTGTCTTAAAAGATATTGCTCAATATTTTTGTCTTTTTTTCATATTGTCATACAAGCAATTTCCAAAATGTGAAAGACAGGAAACTAAAAATTAATAAAACAGTTGCCATCAGCGCTAACACCTATCTGTTTTATTTCGTTCTTTGTTTTTTCATTACTCGAGTATGCTGCGGTTTTATCTTTCAGACCCCATAGAGAGTTGAATAATTTTGTCAACATATATTTCACTCAATGACGGCCTTGTTGTTTTGAAATTTAAACGGATAAATAATATAAGTTTCTTTCTTTAAATCTGATAAAGCGTAACTGATTTTATCATCAGATTTTTCAATAGACTTTTAAGATGTGTGCAGCAATATAAAATTAAAGTTTATTTGATGCGTGCATGATTGCACTGACATCTCAGATTTCAACTGAACTTCATAATCAGCGCGAAAAAATAAATAAAAACGGGTCAAAACTTTTGCTTAATTTTATGTTTGCGACAACATTAAGTAAGAAATAGTTTTGACACGTTTCGATTGATTTGCTTCAAAGATGAACAACAGTATGCAACAAATAATATCGAAACAGCCGGAAGCCCTGGTTCCAAAATCCTAATGAGGTTTTTTTAAATAATTTTCTCTCTCCTTATGTCATTTCATATTTTTTTAATTTATTTTATATATCTTAAACCTTAAATCTTGACTTTTGGTATTTTGTATTTTATTTTTTTTTGTTTTTCAGCCCACAAACTATGCTATGAAAGTAATCAATTTAAGCAGAGCTAACAGACGAGAGCAAGAACTTTTAGACCGAGAAACTCAAATACTGTCTGACCTCAAACGGTTCAAACATGAGAACATAGTTCATTACGTAGAGTGCTTTCGCCAAGGAGATAGTGCTTACATAATTATGGAGTATTGTGAGCGTGGTACTTTATATGAGTATATCCGACAAAACAAAGTCGTTTCAGAATATATGTTTGTAGAATTTGTCAGACAGATGGCATCTGGATTAGAAGTAAGAAATGTTATTTTATTTCCTACTGAAAAACAAAACAGTCCAATATACTAATGATATTCTATCCCAGGAATAGATTACCGTAGCTGTATTTGCAAAATTTGTCAGATTCTTTTGGTCCTCAATGCTCAACTTCGTACTTGATTTGGCCTTATAACTTTTTTATTCGAGCGTCACTGATGAGTCTTTTGTAGACGAAACGCGTGTCTGGCGTACAAAATTATAAGCCTAATGTCTTTGACGATTTTTTTTTTGTCACCGCAAAGCTTCAATAATATGTTTGATGATTGATTGATTGTTGGTTGCTTAACGTCCAGTGGTAATCAATAAGATGAATAACGACGTGAAATATGTGATACAATCATCAGGGTCATTTAAAGATGTGGTGTGTTTGTCAATGAGACAACTATCCACCGAAGTCTTAAAGGACAAGGATGTGAAGAGCTACTGATACCTTCAATAATGAACTCTTGCTGTATAGGGGCCCGATGATAAAAAATGTGAAACAATTCAAAAGAAAAGACCAATGCCCTGTTATAACAAACAAAAAATGAACCAAGTTTTAAAAAAAGTACAGTACAAAGAAATGACAAATTTCCCACAAATCTGTTTGATTCAGAGGTCAAAATAGGAAGGATGACGAAGCCTAGCTGCATTTAAATATTAAAGTTTTATCATCATTTTCACATAAGCCCATAAATGCGAGAGCGTTAATAATCTTCATTCCAAGAATACCACCTATAGACTCTCTAATATTCAAATGCAACAAGGTTTCGGCACATTTCTTAGTTGATATTTGTATCATTATACCGTTTTACCTTAAGTAATACTAATATTTTAATAAATTAAAAAAAAAATCATAGAAGGACGTTTTAAACTAAATTGGATTAGTTAGTACCTTAACGATAATTTGTAAAGCTTTAATGTTTACGATTAAATCTTACTTTTGTTTTGGCAGAAGTAAATGGGAAATTTGCGAAAGTTTATTTGACATGAGCATTCTTTTCTGATACTGATCCTTCCAAGTCCCAGATCGTACCATGTATTGCAAATATTTAAATGAATACGTCTTATTACAGTAGTCCCATTCAGAGCACGTATAAAGTAATTGAAGCATTTCGTTCCAGTCAGAACAACCGATAATATGTCACCAGTATTATCATGTGCATTTCACTATAAAATTACTAGCTATAAAATCAATATACTATTTGTATACAGTTTAAAACAGATGAATTGCATTTAAATTGTAAAAAGATAACAAAATATATATATATATTTGTCATTCAGACCTATCTAATGACATGTATGTCTATATTGATGTCTTCAGGGCCCGTATGAAGTAGTTGAAGCATCTAGTCCCAGTCAGAACAACAGATAATATGTCACCAGTATTATCATGTACATTACGCTATAAAATTACAAGCTATAAAATCAATATACTATTTGTATATATAATAGTTTACAATTGATGAATTGCATTTAGATTATAAAAAGATAAAATATGTGTTTTTAATATGATTTATTTGGTCTTGTTAATCATTCAGAAATAACTAATGACATGTACTTCTGTATTGATGTCTTCACGTTCTGTCATTCAGCCATATCAGTAGTGGATCCAGGGGGGGGGGTCCGGTGGTTGGAACCCCCCTTTTTTTGACGATCAATGCATTAATTTTGAATGGGGACATATAGTTGGAACCCCCCATTTATCCTGGGTTGGGACCCCCCCCCCCCTTTTAAAAAATGGCTGGATCCGCCCCTGCATATCTAATGACATGTATTTCTGTATCGATGTCTTCACGTTCTATTATTCAGCCATATCTAATGACATGTATTTCTGTATTGATGTCTTCACGTTATATTATTCAGCCATATCTAATGACATGTATTTCTGTATTGATGTCTTCACGTTCTATTATTCAGCCATATCAAATGACATGTATTTTTGTATTGATGTCTTCACGTTCTATTATTCAGCCATATCTAATGACATGTATTTCTGTATTGATGTCTTCACGTTCTATTATTCAGCCATATCTAATGACATGTATTTCTGTATCGATGTCTTCACGTTCTATTATTCAGCCATATCTAATGACATGTATTTCTGTATCGATGTCTTCACGTTTTATTATTCAGCCATATCTAATGACATGTATTTCTGTATCGATGTCTTCACGTTTTATTATTCAGCCATATCTAATGACATGTATTTCTGTATCGATGTCTTAGCCCTATCTAATGACATGTATTTCTGTATCGATGTCTTCACGTTCTATTATTCAGCCATATCTAATGACATGTATTTCTGTATCGATGTCTTCACGTTCTATTATTCAGCCATATCTAATGACATGTATTTCTGTATCGATGTCTTCACGTTCTATTATTCAGCCATATCTAATGACATGTATTTCTGTATCGATGTCTTCACGTTCTATTATTCAGCCATATCTAATGACATGTATTTCTGTATCGATGTCTTCACATTCTATTATTCAGCCATATCTAATGACATGTATTTCTGTATTGATGTCTTCAGTCACGTTCTGTGCATCATTATCCTTCTTGATCAAATTTACATTTTTGTAGACGGTAAATTATATAACTACATTGGAATGTTTAAAAGATTGTGATCCTAGGATTTAGTAGGCTTACAATTTTTCATTTGCATTGGTTGTAGAACTCCCAAAATGTATTATTACCCCAAACTATTTTTTTCAGTTACATTATGAGAATGTCGCTTTGTTGGCACCTTTTTAAGTGAAATCGGATTTTTATTTTCATTTCATTTAAGTCACAGGTTTTATCTAGATGAGCAACTACATATACATATATCATGACGACATAAGATACACACTTGGTCTCGCATTATATTATGAGCAGGAACTGCTGACCCTTCCGGAGTACCTGAGTTCACCTACGGTCAATGATCTCGGCTTTACGGTTTTCTGTGTTGTTTGTAAAAATGTGTTGTTTGTCTTTCCGTCGTTATTATGTTTGGCCATGGCGTTGTCTATTATTATTTGACTTTTGATGTTTTGACAGCCCTTTGATATTTTCTACTATTCATTGGATTGCGTCTGAATATCGTCTTTAGTCGGGTATTTGCATCATGCTATAAAAGTATCTTTTTGTTTAGTTATTGTAACAAAGGAGCTGTAATATGATTCTAAAGTTGAAAATATTTTAAAAACAAGTTTTGTCTGCGTGTTGTAACAGTTCTTTTAAATTAAATTATTGTAAATTTCAGTTTCTACACAGTAAAAACGTGTTACACAGAGACGTAAAAAGTAAAAACATTTTATTGACTGCTCATAACGACGTCAAGATTGCAGATTTCGGCGTAGCAAGGTGAGTAGACTTTAGTTTATCATTGCCATCCACTTGATCGATATGATAAAGAGTTCGTTTCCGTTTTGCCTACTAGATTACTTCTTTGTATTGATTTTCCTTTATTTTTCTTTCAATCACCAAATAATATTCCGTCTGTTTCTTTCAAATGTCGGAATGAAAAAAAATCGTGTGCGCAGTCATATTGCGCATTGACAAACACATCTGTTTGCTAGCCTACATTTAATAGATGTGAAACGGCTAATAACACAAGTTATCTATGCTTACACTAATAACCGAATTTATGCTCAATCATAAATTCTATTATTTCAATGAACTGCAATTATGCGAAGCATCCATTTGTGCTGCAGATCAGGAAGTCAAGGAGAAATAAACGAACACGTCATTTTTTATTTGCACGTTTTCTACTTTTCGATATTTGCATTTTCATTTTAAAAGCAAACAAAAAATGTTATTAATTGCATCTAACCTGTCAAAAATCAATTATATTACAATGTAAAAGAGTTACGTTGAAATAATGCCATATAAAAATACGAAATATATTATTGTACTTGTAACAGTTTATTATGTAGGTTGATGCTTTGTAATAAATCGTATTTAAATATGCTGTTACGACATCTTAATTCCATTTATATTTTTCAGAGAGATTCCAGTGGCGGCTCCTGGTAAAATGTCTGTATTTATCGGCAGTCCACAATACATGAGTCCAGAGATGTTGGCAAAGAAACCGTATGACGAAAAGGTAGAGATTCGCTTGGACTAGTAAAAATTAAACATACTATATCCCTTTTTAGAGATTGGCATTATTATAGTGTTTGCCTGTATATTCAGCCGAGCCTTGGAATAAATCTATAAATATATTTCGTGCACGTTATTATAGTTCCATGCGTTATTCATAGTGTGTTTAAACCGTGAAATTGGATTTTAATAGTATTGTATAAAAACAAGTAATATGCAAGTTTAAACGCTTTCAATGAAATCAATTTATGATGTGAGTAATTTTAAAATGCGTCCGGAACTTGTTTTTTATTTATTTATTTATTCATTTTTTTGCTTTTTTTCTCTTTTTATCAAATGATTGTTTTGCTTATTTTAGACTGATATCTGGAGTTTAGGGTGTACGTGTTTTGAAATGGGTACCGGTGATTATGCATTTAAAGCAGAAAATATACAACAGATCAGACAACTCGTTGAAAAGAAACAAGTAGGTGTTTGTCACGCGGTGTTTGTCATATCGAAAATACTATATTGATATATATATATAATAACCATAATAACGCATTATAGATATGTTGCCTGACATATACAGTTTTGTGTTGAATATAATCAGACAACTTACTCTTTATTTGTTTAAAATAGTATCCACTTACAAGTTGATAGTCTTGTGAGTACTAAAAGTCTTATCTAAATTTTTATGCACATAGATTTACTTGGGAAGCTTCAGCTTATCTATGCAGGAGACATTTAAAATATGATACAAAGCAATCAAATATAAAGGTCAACTGTTTTTCGGAGTACTTTATTTACAATGTTGACACATAAGAATATTGTGAAAATTAAAACTTTTTTGTAATGTTTTGCTTGTGGTTATAATATTAAATGAAAGCATTCAAATAGTGCGTCTTAAAAAGTTTCAAGGTTACGATTGATTGTTGGTTGCTTAACGTCCAGTGGCAAATATTTCATGCATGTTCTAGACGAATTCAAGGTTAAGCTCTTTGGGGACCGTCTATTGAAACATATCCTGACAATATTACTGTCTTGATTATACCATGGAAGTATTATATTGACTAATATTATCAATATTATACTTCCTTGATTATACATTGCATATTAGCAGACGACATTTTTTAGTTAATTTTGTTTACAGCTGCCACCAATGGAGAACGCTGATTACTGTGACGATGTTAAGTCTATCATTATGTGGATGTTACAAAAAGAATCTGCTAACAGACCGACGGCCAAACAAGTAGCAGAAGTAATAGCTAGTCATAAATGTAAAAATATTGGCACTCACACTGCAGTAGAGTTGTCAAAGGCTGTAGCCAAAGGTACATATATTTACACCCTTTAAGGCTTCTATATCGCAATAATTTCACTTCTGGAACCCCAATTCAAAATATTTTTGAAGAATGTTTTCTTATAAACATAAGGGCAAGTGATAATATAAAGTAATTTTTGGTACTATTTAGTGCTTGACATGTGGTATAGACGTCTATCTATTATTTTCTAGTTCTGATTGACTTTTCTTAACATTTTTCAGTGGCACCAAGGAAAAAGGAACCAAAAACATCGAAGACAAAAACGAACGGTAAGAGTATGAATCAACTGGGTCTTAAATTGCATGAGTATGAAGAATGCATGACGGTTAGATCGTATAATTATATTGTAGATTGTGAAATCTTGAGTTTTTATAAGAAGAAAACCCCTATTTATTATAAAAAGAACTTTTTTAAACAATTGATGGTAAAATCTATACCAAAGTCCGTGCAATGAGAATTTGAAATAGTAAATATTCCAAACGAGTCACATTTATTAATTCTTTGACAGACGCTTTTTTAAAATACGATCTTAAATGAAAAATCCATTGATATTTTTTTTGTAATCTTTTAAGATAATAAAACTTTTGGGTCGTGAAAACTAAAAATCGATATTTTGATGAAATAATATGACGTAAGTTGACACCAATCGAATTTGAAAGCACGAGACTTCTCAAGATTTCAATGTTAGTTTGCATGAATATTTACAGTAGACATTTTCTTGTAGATTCTGGAAGAGAGAGTGGTGTGTTTAGTGAGCAACCATCAGAATGTGGATTAACAGGTTAGTTATTATAGTGATTTATTCGCTTGTCTTTTATATATCAGGAAGCATTTTTCAGAAAAGTTCTATTTAAAATGATCTTGACGTGAATATGACGGTCCCTTCACTCTAGATAACATAATACTATACTACATGACTAATAATACATAATTTTTATGTACAGATGGGGTTTCGACTGATAATTAATATTCATATATTGTACTTTAGATAAGTCTGCAATGGGAGCTACGTATAATGAAGTGTCCAATACACAGAATCAACAGGATTATCTCCAGAAACAGTCAAATAAATATCAGGCGTAAGTAAAAGATACACTGAGTTTGCATTAACAGTCAAATAAATATCCGGCGTACAAATAAAAGATACTCGGAATTTACATAAACAGTCATACAAAAATCAGGAGTGTAAGTAAAAGATACTATAAATTTATACATACAGCGAAACAATGATCAGGCGTAAGTAAAATTTACTCTGAGTTTTCATAAACAATCAAACAAATATCAGGCTTAAGTACAATTAATTCTGAATTTAAACAAACAGTCATATATCCGGCGTAAGTAAAAGATACTCTGAATTTACACAAACAATCAAACAAATATCTGGCGTAAGTAAAAGATGCTCTGAATTTACACAAACAATCAAACAAGTATACCCGGCATACAAGTAAAAAATACGCTGAATTTACATAAACAGTTAAACAAATATCAGGCGTAAGTAAAATAGTTTTCATAAACAGTTTAGAGATTCATAAACATTAAATCATGTTTAAATCGGTCTAACCTGAGACTACTATAGCACAGTAGTCTCAGCTCTAACATAGTGTTGCAGTAAAACCATTTTCTTGGTTATTACTTATCGGCATTAACATCTATCCTTTCGGTACCTGAGGATTGATAGTTTTACACAGGTTTGGAGTCTACGGTTACTAAAACATTTGTCGACAACTATAAGAATGCATAATTTGACAACAGTTGAGAGATTTATAAGTGTACGTTTACTGATATTTATGTCGATACCAACTAAAAGTGACAATATTTCATATGTTGTATAATATTTATGAGTTTAGATGGATTCTCAGACACAAAAGTGAAGAAATGAATGTTTCAGGTTGCTGTATTTGTTGTCTGCATCTATAAATGCTGCCAATATCTATCCTTTTTGATGATACTTGTGTGCCAGCATGAACATTTTATTCTTTTGATGGATAATTTGACACTGTATAAGTCTACGGTTACTTATATTTGTGTCGATAACAATAAAAGGCGACAATATTTCTTTCTTTTTGATGATACTTCTGTGCCAAAGTTTATTGTGTTTATCAAATATAGGTATTATGTGTAGCCAGACAACGAGGGTATTATCAAAAGTGTTTCCTCAAAAAATAATTTTGGGTATTTATAGAAAAACTAATAGCGATGTTTTATCTCAAATTTTTGAGAAAAAGAGGCGAACGATACCAAAGACATATTCAAACTCGTAAGTCTAAAACAAACTGACAACGCCATGAAACAAACAAAAAACGACGAAAAGACAAACAACAGTACACAAAACACAGCATATAAAACTAAAGACCGAGCAACACGAATCCCATCAAAACCAAGGTGCTCCGTTAAGGTAAGCAGATCCTGCTATACAGTCTCATGCAAGTACAAACCCGGTGATAATTCTTATTTGGTAGGTTACATTCGAGGAAAGAGAACGGCATTGTATTTACGACAATTATAACATATCCGTCATTCCCTGTGAAACAGATATTCCATGAATATATACGGAATACGATAACGTTTATTATAAAAAAAAATTATTCACCTCGTATGTAAAGCAAACCAGCATAAAACTATATATCCCTTGTAAACCGCTAAGTTTGAAATATTTTTCATTTGCAGGCAAATAGTTCGATTAATGGGTGGCAACAAAGCAAGTGAACATGTCTCTAAGATTATTAAAGTATGTCGTAAACATCCAACAGATTACGAGAAAATAAAGGTATTATTACTTCTGAAGTCGCTAGCTCAAACTCAATTTTCTGAGATCTACGAGCAATTTTGTTTTACTTGTATATCAAATTATTTCAGTATTGAAATAGTCATTATTCTACCTTATATAATCTAATTCAGAACAGATTATTTTTATATCAATGTTAAAGACAAAAAACGTTTATGTGAAAATGACAAGAAAACTTGACTTCTTCATTCATTTTAAATATATATTAAGCATTGGTAAAATAATAAAATACATTTTGAACAGTTACCATTTGTACTTATCGATACAGCAATCTCTTATGTTAGAAAAATGTATGCGTTGTCGTTCTGAAATGTAAAGACAGTGATATTTTTACTCGATGTTTTTTAGACTGTGGTGAAAAAGTATGTTCGAGAAGACCGTTATGAGAGGGTGTATCCGCTTGTACTAGCATTGAAAGGTGTAGAGGAGGCCATAGCACTACAGGACTCACCCCCATCACACGTAGATTCTAAACCCGATCGAGCAGATACCTAATGTCATAGAAGCTAAGGACAATAATCATTTACACACAAGTTTTATATGCTGTCATGTGACTTGCCAGTGTACAACGTCCTTGGACAATTTGTACGATGATTAAGAAGAGAAAGAAGGAACCCTTGAAGATATAATGAAAAGGAATGGTATAGGAAAATGCATTGCAGGAGTTATGAATATCAATTTCGAGGCCAGTAGGTGTAAGGAATGATATGACATTTTCTCATGTTTTTATTTGTAACCGGTGCTTTTGTCATTTCTTATTTGTTAGAATAGGTTGTCTCCCCACAAGTGGCATTACTTGCAGATTCATTATTAAGCAAAGTTGTCATTTTATACATTTCTTTTTTTTTTTAAATATTTGATATTTACACATGTATTTTACACTTATTCTCTCGTTTGTTTTAAGTCATATGATAGTTTCAATTTGTATAAATAAATGAAAGACTGACAACCAAAGTACCCAGACAGTATGCTGTCTTATAAAAACACTCATTCGTTATTCAGCTTTACTTGAAAGCGTCTGATCACAACTCTGTAAACAATTTTATGCGGTTTTTCTGTTACTAAGTTAACATTATACACGATATGCATTTTATACGCGCGTCTGGCGTATTAAATTTTAATCCTGGTACCTTTGGTTACTATTCAGCAGATCAGGAACACATTCCTTGTTCAATATCTACAAGAAGGTAACATATCTAAAAATGAAAGTTTTCTTTTTGAGTAAGAGTGGCAATGAATTGATGAGAAACAAATCTGGTTCCAGACCCGTTTGATGGGTAATTACAAAAAAACCTCCTTGCTTTTACGTCTCTGCATGTAGATACATACACGAGTGTTGTTGTTTTGGTTTTTTTTTAATTTAAGACTGTTTTTACCAAAACAAGTATTTTTGTTCTTATTCTTTATAGTGATATTAGTTAGTAAACAGCATCATTGACTGTCATAAAATGTGTGTGTGATGTGGAAGAAAGTAAATTGATGTGTGTGTGTGTGTGTTTAAGCATGGAAGTAATATTACTTCCATGGTTTGAGAGAGAGTTATGCATGACCCTAACGATATATGATAAACGATATCATATGCTACAATAATTTTGAATGAATACTTTTACATGGTAAATGTGATAGTCCACTTTAGCTGATTTTACATGATAACTGTGATATTCCATTTTAATTTATATTTTTATTAACTGTGATACTACGATTTATATGTACTTTTTGAATAAAGAGATAGAACTTTTTTTTGTTATTTCGATTACTCGAAGATCTAACCATCATAACTTGACAGAATATTAAATTCACAGTTTAACCAGAGATCGACATATAATACATGTCTCTGGTTTAACATAAGAATAAGAATAAGAATAAGAATTTTATTAGTTTAAAATCCAAACAATAGGATTGTTACTAAATAAACAAACCAATACAAAACCAAAACAAAATAAACAAACAGACAGACAGGCATATTAATGACAAAACGATAGACATTAAACAATACAAACATGTAGCTTTGAAAAAAAAAAGATTATTAATATTAAGTATAATACTATTTTTGACAGCATCCATATGAACCAACAGAAAAGTAATACAGATTTGATCAAAGGTTCATCTTATTTATTCTAATAAATAATAAATCACAGCAATATATTTAAGACATGATCTAAAAAGATAAAAGAGAGACTGTTATATTTACTTGTTTACATCAATAGTAAACATATAGAATACTTATATATCACCCCCAGTTTTCGGTGGGGTTCGTGTTGCTCAGTCTTTGTTTTTGTATGTTGTTTTGTGTACTGTTGTTTGTCTGTTTGTCTTTTTCTTTTTCTTTTTAGCCATGGCGTTGTCAGTTTATTTTCCGCTTGTGAGTTTGAATGTCCCTTTGGTATCCTTCGCCTCTCTCTTACACCGTACAAGTATAATATTAAAATAAAAATAATCTTATTTTCCTTCCAATTGAAATAAATTTTCGTGTGTTATTCTATCAAATATTGGCCGATTTTTTTTAGATCTTTCGGCTTTCACATTCGTTAGTTGAAAGGATGCAGGTGTCGTCGTTCATGTATTGATAGAATAAGAAATCCGATATCAACTCATGTGAGAGGAACAGCTTCAGATAACGGAACAAGCGACGACGGCATCACAGATACCCCACAAAGAAGTTATCACGTACTTGACAAACTGGGTCGGAACCTTATATGTTCTAAATAAATCAGTGGGGATGGAAATGTGCTAATTTGTCGTTGGAGTTCATGTTAATATAATTCTTCCATGGTACAACGGTGATGCATGATCGTATCCGTCGGGTTTTCTAACAAATGGTAAGGTTCGGTTGTATGGTGTGTATATGTATCTGTTTCTGTGAACATATTATGTTGTAGTTGCTAAAGCTTTATATAAACGAAGGAAATACATGTGTGTTTGTAAATCTCACTGTTTAGCACTTTTTAGATTTGTTTGTTTATTCTGAATGGGATTGTTCCCTATATAGTCATGTAGTTAAATTGTCGATTTAATTCGTCTTTTGGTTTTGTTTTTGATTTCGATAACTGGGTAGTGTTGTGGATCAATCTCTGTGAACACCCCGAGTTATTTTGTAGAGGAACGTTAGCCTCGAATCTTTCCTCCGTTCCTGGAGTGTCAGCAGTTCAAGATTACTCCGTAGCCGTCAGATAGTACCGTCTTTCCTTGAGCGATAATTTCAGCTGATACAACAGGCATCTCTGCTTATGTAAACGTTCAATTTTATCGATGTATCCCTTCATGTAAGGATCCCAAATTACTGCTCATCACTCGAATGTCAAATGTATGTAAATTATTCCTGCAAGATATTAAACAGTGTCGTAAATGTCTACGAAGAAAGTCTGATGTTTAATTGTTATTAATGTAAGTGCTCCATTTTATTCTTCTGGAATCATAATTCCAATATACTGATTTTTTAGCACTGTTCGGAGTATATGCTCGTCTAGATTGTAGAAGTAGGAGTCACGTGTTTGTGTTGAATGCGTATCATGTTTGGCATTAAAGCGCATACCCAAATTCAGCGTGTATGGGAACAAACTTTCTGAAAGTGTCAAGCAAAAAACAAATTTCTTTAGTCCTTATAGTCAAGAAGTTAGTCAGTGTCCTCTTTCATTTTTTATTTTCAATAATTTATTTCTAAAAAGGGGTTTTAGAGGGGGGGCAAAAACTTAGTCTCTCCCATCTCCGACGCTACTGATAAGCTTGCTTAACTAAAACAGATATACCTACTAATTAAATAATATGATATGGGATACGAATGTAACAACCATACAAGAACTCGTACCAAAAAATACAAAATCAAACTGACGAAATCTCATACTTTATTAACGTTCATGTACTGTTCACTATTTCACAATTAAAAATTTTCTTTTCAAGTAAACGAAATCTTTCCAAACCCAACTAAGAACTTTTAAAGTAGATTCTTTTTAAAAAGATCTGTGAAAATTTTTTACCTTTTCATACGTCATGTAAAAGGAGACCTGACACGCCGTACCTAAATATACATGGTTTAAATTGAGTACGTGTCTTGAAATAAATATTATAAATCACAAATCTAAAGATATTTAAATCAATTTGTAATAAAACTATCTGTTCAATGATATATTTTTTTATTTCAACCTGTGCATGGGAACTTCCTCATTCTCTTGGAAATTTCCTTCACAAATAAATATATACGTATATACTTTGTCTGAAATTTAGCCCAACAATGATAAATCTGCAAATTTGCTTTGGCAAACTGTTGTCCTTTTCTCAGCGGGATTTGAACCTAATTGAAAAGAAATCCTGGTAAACCCACCGCCATAGACCACTCTTGCCTACAATGCTATATAAAATGAAGCTGTCGTTATAGTCAAGACGAGACCCAGGTTATATTATTGAAATTCAACATTTCGTTCTTCGTCTGCTTCATCGCAGTTCACGATGTATTGTGGCATTACTTTAGATCAGCTGTTTTTTTCCCTGTCGTTAAGAATGCTAACACTTACCAAGGGGTCTCATCAATATTGTTGTGTTTTATACGTGGGGGTTTCTGGTCTTTTAATTTTAGAGAACAAGAATGACTTTTTCAAATTTTGAATTAGAACCTTGAAATTTTCAACATCAAACAAAATTCTATCATCTTACAAGACTGAATCTTTTTAAACATTACAGGAATTGTGATGTGAAGACCCTTACTATAAAAGGACAATTATTTTGTACTGATTGGTGGCATTCATTAACTAAAGAAATTGTTTTCAGATGAAATGTAGGTCTACAATATAGTAGAATGAATGTGAAACGCAGTATTTGGTTAACATAGTTAATGATTATAATGTTTTATTTGTTCATTCTTTAAAAGACAAAACAAAATAAATACATTTTCATTAAAAAAAACTTTCTCAACACATGTCCTTTACATCTTGCGTTTAGTTAATTTATAATTGAAAACAAATTCTACAGAAAAAATGTCTCCCACAGAGATAAAGGTATAAATAAATAACTCGACCATATTTCTGAATGCCTCTTTACATATTTATAAAGCAGAGAGCGTCATTAACTGAAAAACCTTTGTAAAAAACAAAGAAAAGGAAAGGAAAAAAAAAACAAACAATACAATACAATACAATTCAAAACGAGTTAGGGATTTTTGTTTTTAACAGTTTCAACATTTTCCTGAATACATAATCCTCCAATTGGTGCAACAAAGCAAATATCTTCACATCACAATGTCATATGACGCATTTTCCCGAAAATGACCATACGTCAACCATAAAATCGAAGTTGGAACCTCGTGTATAGTTTGTAACTCTTCTGACTTTTTTTCGTATGTTATGTTTAAATACGATTTGCAAAGAAACACCTTTATTATTGATAATTTAATCTGTTAAGTGTTGGAGACGCGACACACAAAAAAGCTTCCTTATTTAGTTTAAAAGATGTCGGTCCCACAGTGATCCATGATACAAGGTCTAATGGTGTATTACCATTGGTAGAATAAAATATCAAAGCGAGAAAACTAACGGCCTAGTTATTGACTTTTTTCAGTTCAGGTTTAGGGTCAAATCAAAATTCACAAATGTTCACCAAAATATCACCTACTGGACGAAATGCAAAAGAAATCTATTAATCTACACTACTTTTAGATAAATTATGCTATAGGGGTTCATTATAGTGAACATTTGCCATCCGATGTATCAATTTCAACTTTTTGGTTAAAAATATGGAATTTGTAAATGTTAAAATCTGAAAAACGAAAAGCATCGAAAATTACTGGAAATGTTCTGTAGGCATATATCCTAAGAAGTTTCAAAATCTTAGAACGATTGGTCAACTTCCAAAGAAGATCTTTCGGTTTGGAAATGGAAATGCATGTATGTGTTGGGTTTCTATTAACACTCAGTATATACATGTATATGAATATAAATTATCAGGTTTTTTTTAAGTTGGGTCATATTTATTAATAATGCTTAATTGACCAAACCGATAAGGGAAATGCCCTGTTGACATTTTAAATATCAACACAACTGCTTCATCATAATCGACGCTTTAAACTTTGAAAATTTTCAACATGATAACAATCAATCAATTAAACAGAACAACGGTTTATAAACTAGTAGCTTGACACTATTGACATTTTATTTTTTTTTCTGTTAAGGAATGCTATAAGTTTAATAGAATTGAATACTTTTTTGTTTAAATATGGCTAATACATGTGTACTCTCAACATTCCTTTACTGGTAAAAAAACAAATTGTTTTTGGACAATTCCCAAATAAAACTTTGAGACTAGGACTTATTTTCGATTATGGTCAGAGTTGAGATTTTTGTGCTGTTCTTAATTTCTCCGTATTTCAGTATAAGATACGATCTATCTTCCTGGTCGAATGAAATAAACTCATGACCCTTTCTGTCCCTATCCAATAGAAGATATTTTTCTAGTTGTAGTCTAAATCATCCACCTTTAATCCCTATCCACCAACACCGTATATCTTATATCTATTGGATTTAATGTCAGTTTATCTTATCATGAATATATGTAAGATCCCAGGGAAATTGACTGGGGTATAGAAATGTAGTAATCTCTGGACTTTGGACTTCTCCCGTCCGGCAGTGAAACTCTTGCTAAAGTTAATGTACGACTCTGCAGGATGCATAAATACGCAGCAACGTCACGCCTGGATGGGGAGTTTATATCCCGTGTAGGGTGAATGCTATATATGCTATCTACTTGATAAAG